GTCCTTCAATTCTTGACCCTACTGCATCAATTATTGTTGAGACAGATGCTTCAAACATAGGATTCGGTAGTGTGTTAAAGCAATTACCCCTAGAATCGTCAAAAGAACAGTTAGTCAGATTTCATAGTGGAGTCTGGTCTGGACCTCAAATCAACTATTCAACCATCAAAAAAGAAATCCTTTCAATAGTTCTTTGTATTTCCAAATTTCAAGATGATTTGATCAATAAAAAATTTATTTTAAAAACCGATTGCAAAGCTTCAAAAGATGTTTTACAAAAAGATGTAAAAAATCTTGTTTCCAAACAAATCTTTGAAAGGTGGCAGGCAATTTTGTCCTATTTTGATTTTGAAATTCTATATATTCAAGGAAAATCAAACTTCTTGGCAAATTTCCTCACAAGAGAGTTTATTCAAAAGAGTGAGAAAAATGAGTTGGGCTAAGAAAGTTGAAGAAGAAGAGGATTCTCAAAATCCTTTTCAAATCAAAGTTTCAAGAAAGAAGAAAAACTCAATTCCTTTCTTCGAAGATCCCCCAAAGGATCAAAAGGAAGCTTCATCTTCCTCAAATACCCTCTCATCCTTTATCAAAAAACCTGATCAAAATAAACTCAAGCAAAAAAACTGAGTCTTCAACCCCTTCAAACTTCAAAAAAGCCGTTCAAAGTTCTTGCAAACTTCCTCAAATTAACCCTCCAAATTCTTTCAAATATTTTACTAAGAGTATTTCCGATGTTGTTCTTACTATGGAAACCTCTTGGATCAATAGATATGGTGGTCTTGATGATTGCCTTGAATCTATCCTTCCTCAAAACTTTTGGTTCATGCCTTCAAATATTCAAAAAACTAGAGAATATTATGAAAGCATTCTTCTTTTGACTGGTTCTGCAATTATTTCTCATACCCCTGAACCAAGAGACAAATCAAAAATCATGTTTTCAAAAATTTCAATAACAAGAGTTCTGTCTTTTGAAGACTGGGGACAGAAACCTTGGGAAGAAAAGAGACTTCGTCTCTCAAAGATAGATTTTACCTGTCAAGAAACTTTCAATTATTTTGACTACCAGAATGCTTGGTATAAGGTTTTTCTTTTTAGACCTGTTACTCATTCTTGGTTCATTACTTTTAATCAAAATTGTAACCCTCATTTTCCGAGTTGGTTTCAAACATGGTTCTTGTATCATGGACTTGAAGAACAAATTTTATCCAGTCTAGTTCTTCAAGGATATGAATACTTCAAAAAAGGAGCAAAACCTTTTCTGAAGCTTCAAGAAAATCTTTTGTTTCAATTTGCGTTCAACATGAGAGTTTCCTGGATTTTCTGCTGGGATTTCTTTCAGTATCAAAATTTCAAGGATGATTACTCATGTCAACAAATTACAAGGAGATTCAAGATTAAAAGGTGGGCAAAGTTTAAAGAAACGAACTGTTGTCCAAAAGCTGTTCAAGCATGGATTCAAGAACAAAGAAATTTAGGTGTACCTAAATTTTCAAAGAAAGAACAAGAAGATCAAGCTGATTTTTTGACTGAAAAACAAAGAATCATTGCAATGTTATCAAAATGTAAAGATCCTAAAGAATTGTTAGAAATTTACGATCAAATTTCCAAACAAGGATCTTCAAAAACAAATAAATCGGATCAAGAAGAAGAATCTCAATTTTCTCAAGAAACTGACAATGGTGATGACTTAGATGATCTAGGTGATGACTATGCCGAGTATCTTGCTCAAGAGAAAGCTGCAAAAGCTTCAAAGAAAACCTCAAAATGACTACATGGACCCAACTTCCTTGATGAATTAAGAAAATTCAGGGTCTACAAATCAAGAGAGATTTTGTTTAATCTCTGTCCAATTCAAAATCAATGGTGCAACATTTGTCAAGATTCCCATCAACTTTGTGTCAGACATCAAATCCTACGTTAATAAAGAAAAAGATTATCTTTATTAAAGGAAGTCAAAAAATTGGAAATTTTTTACTAAAGTTGATGCTGCTTTTCAAGATGCTCTATTATGATGTCGTCCACTTCTCTTTTCAAGATTCTTTCTCTCAAATGAAAGAAATTTCAAGTCCGGACTTCATTATAAATCAACTGAAGATTTCAATTTCAAGGCAGAGCGAATACAGCAAGAAGAAGTTTTACTTTTCTTTGAAATTTGTTCTCTCAAATATCTTTCAATTATCTCTGTAATATTTAAATCTTCTCCAATTATCAATAAAAGTATCAATTTTCATAAATTACTGTTCTTCTATTTCATCTCCTATCCTCTGGGTCTTTATATATTTTTTTTAATTTTTTATTATTATTTTTTTTTTTTTGA